ACGCGAGTAGAAGACACAAGTAGAAGACGTTTCGCGATGAAAGTATCTTATTCTCAGATGTATGCAAGAGACCAACTAAACGAGCATGCTTCAAAAACAATGTCTTGTGAAGCGTTACGATAAAACGACGACACTTCTGTTGATAACATCGGGCAAACAAAGTACTGGGGAATACCGTGACCACTTGCAGCTGTCTCCAACACTCGAGAGCATCTCGAGAGGGTGTCACGTGCGCTCGTCCTGCTCGTCTTTACCTGCAATTTCCGGATAGCGTCGTCGCTATCAACGAGCAAAATCTGCCGCCGTAGCTTTCTCTCTTTACGGCACGTGAGCGCTATAATTTTCGTCGCATTAGCAGGTGGATTGTTACGAGCGGATTATTTTGATGTGGAGCAGATACGGTATTTTAATATTAAATCTGGGCTATATATATATTGCGATATAAATCTGTTTCCAATTTTGTACATGTTTGTTACAATATGGTGTAAATAAATGTTAATAAAACTTATGTGTTTTTAAGTTTAAATTATGATTTATAATTTTATACAGATTTTATTTGCAATAATATATTATTGTTACACTTTAAACGTAACATTATTTGAGCATATTTTTAAACAACAACGAATTACCAAGTAAAAATTGAAAAATTATTTATCTAAAATAATGTTGAGTTAAATTATTAAATAATCTGATAAATAAAAAGGGTAACAATAAATAAAAAACTTTGGAAGCTGATTTTCATTGTACCTAAAACGATGATTAATTTCGTCGAAATATAACAGTTTTACTGTATGTGAATACTAATGCATTTCTACAAAATACATTGTTGGACTATGTTTTGCACTGTGTAGCGCATAACGCGTTGATATGTTAAGTGAAACTTTGTACGCGGTTTGCGAATCAACAGCGTGTCGCCGGTTGCTAGTTCTTGTTCGTCCGAGATGTCGAGAACTTAGTGATCACGTTCTCGTTGTAAAGAATGTTTTACCTAGGATTCCAGTTTAACAAATACGTTGTTAATATTGGAACACGTATGAATACGTGTGTTTATTTGTAATTTTATTACTTTAATATTAGGAATCTAATTTATTAATGTTATTGAATGCAAAAGTAATCCTACAATTACTCATATATATAATATATCACTCATATATAATTTATATTGTTAAATTAGGAAAAACAATCATACTTTAAATATTTTACACCGAATAAATATATAAGTTCGCGAATTAACATGATGATATATAATGAATATTTTATGATTTACGCTATCGGGATGCTATGATTTAGTGATATGTTGACGGAATATTTGATGCGGTAATTATAGAACGCGCGATTTGACGCAACACGATCACGCTTGTGGTGCGATTAACTGGTTAGCATGAAAATTACACATACATATACAATGTATAATTTATAGTTAGATCAATGTTATCTATCGTACGATTTATCTATCGACGATATCGTCGTGCTACCATTCCCACCGCAATGTGACTTCGATCGTTGCGAATTAGCTATTGCCTGTGAGATACACGCATACATGCAATGGCTATACTATTAATATTGAGATAATTAATATATGAATTTACAAATGTATTGCATATGCAAATGAGATAAATATATGGATACATGCAGATATATGGATTTAGACCTAAAATCCTCTGCCATTGTAGAAATCTTTTGTTTCACACTGAATAATCATTGTATAACAATAAGCTCTTGCAGATTTGTTGATTTGAAGGATTATTTATCCACATAAATATCTCTGATATTTGTGGTATAATTATATAACTGATATTGCAAAACTATTGATTTGACAAAGTTGGTTTTCCTAATTTACAAAGTTTCCTTCGCGGAAGAGAAGTTTCAGCTTTTCTTTTTTCAGTCCAATTCTTTTATTTTATTCTGGCTATTTTAACAAACCAGCTTGAAGGATTTCATTAAATACTCAAACCTCAAGAACATCTAACCTTGTTTGATATTATAGAGATGTTATTTTATATACCTATGGATGTTATTTTAGATTGTCCAATCACAGACGTGTTGTTTTTGGAGATAAAGTTTTTACTTTCTTTGATTTAGAAAACATTTTTTTTTTATGTATCAACTTATTTAATACATGCTTAGTCTTCAATAACATGTTGTCTTTATTTCATTAATTTTGAAGAATATTTTATTTAGTTATAAAATGTAAAATGTACTCGGCTAGAAATAATATTTTTATAAAAAATAGCAGATATATTGTCGAGTTTTACATTGCGTATAGCGCATACGATGTTATAAAGCTTGATATTTTACTTTTGAAAAATCAATAATGTAAAAGAAAGAAGAATTAACGATTAATTTTTCACTGAGAAAATTACACTATTTTCTACGTATTTCTCCTGACACTTTTTAAATTCACAAACGAGAACTTAATGCCAGGAATTCAATTTTTTTCACTGTAATTGCCTTCGACTTTTTGATCGAACTCTGTAGACGTTTAATTGTCAGGATTTGGTTACTACGTGCGTACTGAACGTTCGCGTACGTGGCTCTCATCCATTTAATACTGGGAGCTACGGATTCAGGTGTACAAATTCCATTTTCTGTGTATGTATAGAAACGTGATCACACGAACGAACAATTCTCGTACGTGCCTGCGTACGTGTGCGAATTTGATCCACCCTTCAAGTTCAGTACGCGGTAGGCGTCAGACCGTGATCCGTTACAGGAAGATCATCCAGATGGTTAGAAACTTCTAATTACTAGGTTACTCTAAGGATCCGTCTAGTGGTGCGAAATATCTATCTCTAACTGAATTTTACATCAAAATTCATCGGAATACATGAGACAAGAAGTAATGCACGCTTGATTGAAAGGGCGCATCGAATACTAGTGTTACATCTTTATATAAAAACGTTTAACATTTAAGAATGTTATTACTTTACGGAAAAAATGTAAGAATCTTTCAGAAATATTTTCCTTGATTTTTTGTTCTTTTTTGAATCTATTTTAATATGAGTCAATTTGACACGCTAATGACGTCGGTAAACATTCAAATAATGGCACTAATAATTTGAATGCGCCATATAATGAGAATTAAGACTGTTTTAAACAAAAAAGCCTTTGTAGTATTATTTAGTCTCTGCTGCATCATTTTATGGCGCATTGCTGCGCATTATTTAGTCATGTAACGTTACAAACGTGCTGCGCCGTTGCAGCGCAATATTATGGTGTTAAAGTTAAAGAAATTAATAGTACGTTGCAACTTTGGTTTAATCCTTGCTCTGCAAAAATATGCTGCTGCAACTATGTTAACTAAGCAATTAGTTTGTATCCGAGTTTTATAATCCTGGATACATTTTGTAGTCACATTAAATACATATGTGGGCTACGCATATCTCTCTACCATCAATTAAGATAATTAGCTGCCAGTTACTTTTTAGCTCTCACGCATTTATCGTCCAAGTTAATATGCGTTGTAACAAAGAAATCAAGATACACGCTATAAAAAAAGAATTATAAATTATTACTCCTCCATGTGCACCGTTCATTCATCTCTTCTTATTTATCGCGAGTGAAAAGTCGTAATATATAATCCGTATAAATTAACGAGATACGGCACTATCGAGGACCGAAAGAAATATCTAAGAAAGCTTTACGAGCTTTTGTCGCGCGTGGGAGAATGCTCCGGTTACGCGCAACTGGGCGCGCGTTATCGAGCGTTGGAACGCGGTCATAGTTATGCATATTAATTGTAACACAACGCAATAGAGCGCAAACCATGCTGACGAATTCAACGCACATGCAGGCTAATGCATCGAAACACGGAACGTGGGGCGAGAAACTTGTCACACGCGTGTAAATAAGGCGTAATGTATGGGGCTTACCGTGAGGCCGCGGACCCGGGGATTACTCCTCCTCCCTCCCTGTGCAAGCCGCACGCACCCTTTCCTCGTAAATGGAATGCAAAGTACATTCGGGCGTAAATCATGCGATAGAAACGGCCGGTAATCCATTGCTCGCGGCGCCGGTCGGCGCAAATCGAGAAGATTGTGACAATGATTCAACGCAGGTTTATAGCACTCCGTGTAATTAAGTCGTATGCAACGGGTATTACGCATGCAAACGTTGCGTTCACGCATCACGCCGTCGCTCGTGGATGTAATCGGATCGTTCCGGGAAACTCGTTGTAAGTTTTTTCTCCACATTTCTGTCTCTCGTCCGATTTATTTATTCATGTTATTTTCTTTTTGTCGGTCCTGTAATTCGACACGCGCAGCGGGGGTTAATTTTTTGCTGCATGCGAGAAATTGCCGCGAGCGCGTTAGCTGTGACGTAACTACGTGCCAATCTCTACGTTCTGCGCTGTGAAAAGATATCGAGATGTCAAAGCGATTTTGCACCGAATACTTTTTGATTTTTTTGTTTAGATGAAATTTATTGCACGTACACATGCGTTTTATCGTCACTGTTTTGACGCGTCGCTATTATATAAATTTAAAAAAAATGAGTATTTTTACCATAATTTAAAAAAATTTCCTCTATTCTTTTCATATTTGTATGTTCATTTGCAAATTTATTAAATTCTACACTACATTTCTACACTGAGAAGAAAATGTTCTGTTTGATTCTACAAACCGTCTGTTCGATTTTGGACGAAACAGACGGTTTGTTGAATCAAATAGAATATTTTTTTCAGTGTAAATTAAAAATTTTGATTTTTGATATATCTGTTATTATATTATATTATATTAAACTTCTATAAATATTTCCGCTTAAAATATAAACAATGTTTAAGTTAAAATTGCTTTTTTTTCACTGGAAACCGATGAAAATTTGAGATTCGATAATTTGCAGCTAGCTTCTTATGCGAGATATCCATAATATATCCAGATATTACAGTCTCGTGTAGTAAATGAAGTCGTCGGATAAACCAGTCTTACAGTTGATCTTTTTTATGCCACTTTACTGTTTTTATCTCTCCCGTTAACTTATGTCCTCGTTTTTTCTAACAGGTGGTGACGAACAGACTCGTGGGAACGGCGCAGATCTTTCCTGCAAACTTCGCCAAGCGGTAAGCGTACGCACAATTTTTAATTTTGAATATAATGAGGCCGTAATTTATAAAGGCTTTTCTTCAGCCGCCTAAGACTTTAACGAGGGAATTAAAGTGGTTTTGAGTCTCAAACGAATTACGTGCATCGAGGAGTTTTTAAGACCTGCGGGAAAGTATTTTTCGACGTACTTTTTTCGCCTAAAACCTTTAAACTGTGTTATTAAATCTAACTCTACATTGTAAAATACTACTTTTGTAGTGATGAAGATTGAAACAAACTTTAACGGCAATAGCTTTTAATGTTCTCGCGTAGTAAAAATTGATTTCTTACACTTTTTTACGGCGGTTTTTGCTTTTTACATTTTATATGTCGAACAATAGATTTCTCGTATATCAACATATTGTGCGATGATGGTCTGTTTGCTCTTTTTATTGCATATTTAATTTAGCTACATGTTATTTGAAGCTTATTTAAAATTCCACTAGCATCAACTTTCGTCCAGATTCATACTTTTAAAGCTTTAAATATGCGTCAGTTCTGCTGCGTAATTTATCTCATTTCTACCGTGGTCTCGTAATATTTTACGTGTTACGTTTGAAATTAAAGCCTCATTAACAAAGTCGAATTTCAATAAAAGTTTAAAGTTTCCTTCAAAATGCATTCTTAACGTCATTAAGGAACGAAGATAAAAAGTTTAAGACAAAGGCCCTAATGCACAGGGTTGATGGGAAGAAGCGAGCTCGCAGTACGCGAAACTGTCAGGAAATTAACCTACTTAAAAGTACCAACTACCAGATGCAAATTACAATTCCTGCATCTTTAATGAAGTATCACATTTTCGACCGGTAACACGAAGCAGCGGAATTTCGAATATAAATTAAACCGACTGTGCTTAATGATAGCGCAAGAAATCATAATTCTCTTTATTTTTACCTCAGTTTAACGGATTGTCGTATTTTTAATGAAATTTTTGCGCCTTTAATTACCAAGACTCGTCTGGTTGATATTTATGTTACGTTTGCGAATGAAATATCAATTAATTGATATTTAATTGAAATTTAATTGAAATATCTTTCGCATAAGAAATAACTTATTTACACAAGGAAAATGGATTTATTTGAAAAATGTAATATTTAATGTGTAGTATAATATGCTTACTCACGATGTGAGAATGAATTCATCGAGCAAAACGCATTTTGCAGATTAATATTTTATCGATAGGTGCTTCATTTAGGAGCGTTGTAATACTCGCAAACTAGCACGTTATCGAATTAATGCAACCTGTACTAACGATGATATGCAAGTTTGCGTAAACATTTTGACACAGCTGAGAGTGCACAATTTGAAATCGTGTAGCGCGATAAGGCGGAACGCGCTCTTTACATTGTAAACGAATATATTAGAAATTCGAGACGGCGAGTTCACTGACACATCTCGTTCTTTAACAATGCTGTTGACACAGTCGTATCGTGTCATTCGCATTTGCTATTCCCAAATGGCGCCAATGGGCCAAATTATCAATCGCTTGCTATTAGCGATACAAACTTGTACTCTCCCGGGACACGAGATGTACGTATCAAAACCTTGTGCTCTCGTAAAATCAATGCGCACTACAACATCTGCATTTCGGCGAAAAGCTAATATAGCTCAGAATTTTGTACTGATTGCACTGAGACAAATTTTATCGGCAGAACTAGTTTCCATCAACAATTATAAAGAAGCATAATAGAAATATTTTAAATATCAGATGATTTAAAAAATGTTATATATTTTTGCACGAATTAATATAAATCTCTTTGTTTTCGATGTTTTTTACAATATTGTAGTAATTAGCCAACGTTTTGTCAGAAAAACTTGGTAGATTTTGAATTCAAAGATTTTTGAAATATTATTGACACTTATTCGCATATAATATTCTTTTCGCTTTTAATCATCGCGTAACTTACGAGACAATATTAAGTGTTGTTTTCATTTGCGGTCTGCTTTAATTAAAGATTACGTAGTCCCTTTCATTACACGACGCATCGTGTCGAAACTCCTAGCAAGGAAATAGCAGTTCAAATTGCATGCAGTTACGCAATTACAAGGGTTAAGACGTTATCCTTAAAGAGAACCCTCAAATTGGTCATTTAGCTCCTGGCGAAACGTTAAAGGCGATGGGTCGCGTCTTTTAAACCCTCCCAGCTCAGAAGGTGTTGACACAAGTCCGCTTGTAGTTTCGAATCTCGGCGTCTTCCTTCCATTCGCATTATGGCGTCTTGCTTTTACAACTGTTTCTCTCTCTCTCTCTCTCTCTCTCTCTCTCTCTTTCTCTCTGTGTCTGTCTGTCGTTCCATTCGTCGTTACGTTGGCGTGTCGTCACCGGAAGTACAGCGTGGGTTGACCCACATGCACCACCAACAATGCTAGTTGCCGACTGGATGCAACGACCACATTGACTGTAGCTACAGCTAAAGTTGTCTAGTGCAGTCTTAGCTTCTCGTTCGTTACTCCCAATACATCTGTTCTTTCGACATTTTCCTGCTTCTCTTTGTCAGATGTGTCTGTGTTTAGTCGTCCATGGCTGCCCCTCCCCCTCCATCTCTTTACCTCTCATAATATCAAACCTTCTTAAGGAGTTTCCGGCAACGTGCGAATAGTTCCGCCATTTGATCGGTGCGATTTCTCAGCGAATCTTTTCCAGATCGATCGATACACCATCGGAGGTGAAATGCCGCTTTAAATTCAGTCAACCGTGTCCTAGGGAAGTACGCACGACAAAGCGATTCGCCGAGTGCCTGCTTGCGGAATTAAAATCCGCTGTATTCGCTGCATCGCAATAATGATAATCGCAATATAATGTACCCGAATTTGCATTCTGTGCCGCATTAATTAGATTGCATTTGCGTTGCTCGCGCTGAATATTATCGTGATTCTTCGATGTGAAATGCACTCGATTCAAAGATTTGCGCGTACAGTTTGCCGTACCTTCGTATGTATGTTTCAGCGAAGTTCTGCAAGTTCTCGAGGAGCTTCTACAAAATTCTCGAAAGTTTGACATCTCGGCTATATAAGTTGTCAATTCGTCCTTTATTTGAAGACGCGTAAATTTGCATTCTGCAGTAATATTCGTGCATGTTTGTTGAATGTGTTATAGATTGTTCGAAATAGATAGTACGAGCAAAATATATAAATTGTTTTTTGTTTCAAAATTCCACCAAAATTTTAAACGCATCTTTGCGGTATATCGGTCGCATGATAACATCTTGCTTTATATGCAGCGCGCGCGAGAGAGAAAGAGAGAAAGAGAGATGCGTTCTGAAATATATAATCTTACTTTATTGCGCTACGCGGGCGGAATATATCGCGCGACGAATCTGAAACTAACGTAATAATAAGCGAATTTACGTGCTTCTGAATAACAAATTAGGTACCAATTATTGCTTTATTACAAACTCCTAATAATTTGCACGCCTGGCATTTAGAAAATGAGAAACTCTAATTTCGAGTTTAGCTGCTTCGTTATCCTGACACGAAAGTTTAATTTGAAAACGCCGGGCTTTAGTATTCCGTTCTACCGATTTGCATAATCGGAAATTTCATTTGTAATAACTTATAAATCGCTTTTGAAACCCATACAGCTTTCTTGTCTTTAGAGTATTAAAGATTTATTTAAAAAAAAGTTTGTTTTGTTATTAGGATAGAAACTTAAAAATATCTTTCTTTATTCGATACTTACTTTGTTACTATTTGATCATTTTTTTATGACAGTTTGTTATATACACATGTATATTTGTATATTCACATAAACTCAAATGATAACAATTTCAAAATACATATATATATATATATATATATATATATATATATATATATATACTTATCTCATTAAACTTATTCCTTTACTTATTCCTTTACTTCTTCGACTATCGAAAAAATATATAAAGATGTCTCGAGTAAGAAAGGTATCTTCGAGAAAGCGTCATCGGTGTCGAGATCAGCTTGGTTTTTATCGCGTTTTCAATTGCCGCTTCGCTCTACTGAAGATAGAAGATACCGTTTAAAATACAGCGAGACTTTAATATATGCGCTGATAATGATGTGAAGTTGAATACAAGTGTGTTGGGTGGTAAAATTGATATTCTAATTGATACTCGAACTTTCCTACGATGAGAGAGAAATGAAAGTGGCGCGAAATATGCTTGACGAAGCGTCAGCGAATTTACCGGCAGGTGAATACGAGCGGCTTTAGTCGAGTCAGGATTTAGCACTCGTAAAGTAGACGCGGTCGATTTTGTTATCTTCACGGTGTTCCTCCGCTTTCGGGAGCCTCGCCGCTTCTCGACCGGGCGTCTTATCAGTCGTGCTTCACGCGTTTATATGTCGTCGAATTAAATTCCAGATAATGCGCCGTAAATTTGCTGCCCTTGCCGTACGTCCGCGTCGCTCGTTCGCCCGGCGAATTTATCGTCCGCATTAATTTGACATTTAATTTTCCGCGACGCGTATTCCGACGCTTCCGCAATTCGCCGTGATGTGCTCGGAGTGAAACGTTGCGCTCCAGAATTATTCGTAGCGATTTCATCGCCGACAATTTGTTTGTCGTGCAATTTCATCCTGTCGCGTTACCAATATAATTGCCGCGCTGCCGTTTGAATCTGCGTTGCGGTGGTCGATCGGCCTGGAGCTTCCATTTATTCTTTCGGGATTCTTTCTTGAGCGTTTTTAGATATCGCCGTCTTGATTGTATTCTCGAGTGCAGAAATATTTATGAGAGTCATTTGGTATTGCTGTGAATATTGAAAAATTATTGCAATAACAGCTAGACTAGGGCGAAGATATCATCTATTGTTCGCGTCTTTAATTTGGATCAAGTATTGTTTTTCTTTCATACAAAACGTCTGACAATGAGAAAGGACTTATATCAATATCACGATTTTCCAATTGAAGGCGTATAAATTAGCATTATAATAAATTTATTCATGACAAAATTTGTTCGCATGGCTATTAACAGACGCATCAGACAAAAGAAAAGGAA